CAAAATAAACCCAATTGGGAAGGGGTGCGACTCGGGAGGCATCAACCCTAACAAGAAAGAGGGGTCCCGTGTTTAGGGTTGATTCCTCCCTAAAATGTGTCCAAGGGAGGCATCAACCCTAAACACCATGCCACAAGGTGTTTAGGGTTGATGCCTCCCTGACCAAATGCCTTCCCGACTAGGGTTTATTTTTTTTGCTCGCGTGTCTGTTGGGGTATTTCGAGTGTAATATATTGAGTAGAAACAACAAACCAGAGCAGTGGAGAATCAGTGATTGAACACCTACAATGAGCTCTCTGTGAGAACTAGGAAACGTGGCTCATTGAGAGCTCGAGTCCCTAATATGAGCAATAACTCTCCCCCCCTAGCCCAGCCTTTAGCAGAAACTGTGTGCAGAAAGCGCTACCCCTAACCTGAAAGCGGAGGGGTCGGGATACCCCTCCCTGTTAAGCTGAAAACCCTATATCTTGAAATGGTTTGGGAGAAGTCAGGCGAGATCTGAATCATTCACTGCCTTCGAGATCTACGGTATAAATTCCAACCTTACCAAACAGACCTCTGATCTAAACCGTTGAAGCGATTCAGATTGACGGTTACCGATCAAACCTGCATCACTTACCAAAAACACTTTAAACCGTCGATCTTGACAATCGACGGCTATAATTAAATGTAATCTGAGATGCTTGTGATGGGAAAACCAGCCGTATATTTCATTGGTCGTTCATGTTTACAGCCCTGTCGTACTTGAAAAGCGTCACTTATTGTGTAAAAAAAGTCGGTGACGTAAAAGAGATTCTAAACGAGAATCCTATTACACGTTTCAGACAGTATCGCGAACATTGTGCATGCTGATCTGACAATATCGAGAAAATATTACTGTTCAGGCGGGGTAGGCTCATTGTGGTGGCTTTGTAGGTGGGTGGGGCTTCATGCCATATTGGGCGTTTGGTACGGGATGCACTCATTGGCCAATGTGTCTAGTTTGTAAATGTTCCCAAGCCAGCAACATTGTAGTCAATGTGAAGATAGGTAGGTAACGATAGTAGCCATAGCTAGGACTGACCTAGCTAGGCAAGAAGAAGTTAGGCAAAAGAGGGGGGATGTACTAGCAAGCAATGGGATACAAATATGAAACCCTATGGGGTTATACTCGCTATAGAGTACCCCACTGCAGGCTAGATAACAAATATGACATTCTGACACACCCCCATAGCCAAAGTGGGGTGTAATCAGCAGAGCAAGCAAAAAAGAACAAGCTCAGGGTGGATCACAATGTCACCACACAGTCTGAGCACAAGTTCAAGCAGCAGTAGTATAAAGTTCACAGTTATAAGCAAAGCTAGAGGTAGTCACAACGGGCAAGTGAGGCGGAGGAGAGAGAGTGAGAGGAAAGGAGATAGGAGGCAATGGATGAAGCTGCAGACACACGTGCAACAGGAGGCAGACTGGCACAGCGGCTATCGGACAAAGCCCCCGGACTACAGGAGTAACTGGCCCCGCGGCTAAAGTAGCGGCAGACGAGCAACGGACCCACAGGCGGCGGGCACAGCTGGCTACGACTGAGCTACCGGACGAAGTCCCCGGACTACAGGTGCTGCTAGCGACACATCGGCATCCTCCATTCAGCTTCCCCAGACTGTCCTACTCCCCTTGGCACACACCCACTGCTACACCGCTAGCTCTCCTCCCCTTCCCCCCCCCTTAGTATCACTCCACCGGCTCCACCACAATCACCCCCCCCTCAGCGGCAGCTGTAGCACAAGGAGACGGAGGAGGAGGAGGAGCAGGGAGTGGTACTGAGGAGGGTCACCCCCATACCCCTCACCCCCAAACCCTAAAGTAGGAGAATGGGGAGTAGGAGGGGTAGGGCGGTAGTAGAGGGATTGGGAACAGCGGGGAGGGCAGGGAAGGTAGGAAACGGGCCCACCACGGGCCTGGTAGGGACGCCCGAGCCGCGCGCATGCAGCCCAAGCCGCGCGCGGGTCGGGCGTCTCCCGTACGGGCCGCGCGACGGCCTGGCGCAGCCCGTACGGGCCGCGCGCGGGCCTGGCGCAGCCCGTACGGGCCGCGCGCGAGCCTGGCGCAGCCCGTACGGGCAGCGCGTAAGTCTGGCGCAGCCCGTACGGGCCGCGCGCTGCCTGTACGGGCCGCACAGAGGCCACAACGGGCAACCGGGGGCGACGCGGAGGTCCCCGTCGCCCGTCACAGCGCCTCTCAGGAGCGGCGCGCGGCGTGACGGGGCAGAAACCCGCCGCGCGCCTCGGGGCGCACGGCGGTAAGGGAAAGTAGTAGTTGCAGCGGAAGGAACGTGGTTAGGCACACAGGCCAGGAGCGTACTGCTCTGATCACCATGTGAAGATAGGTAGGTAACGATAGTAGCCATAGCTAGGACTGACCTAGCTAGGCAAGAAGAAGTTAGGCAAAAGAGGGGGGATGTACTAGCAAGCAATGGGATACAAATATGAAACCCTAAGGGGTTATACTCGCTATAGAGTACCCCACTGCAGGCTAGATAACAAATATGACATTCTGACAGTCAATCTGTTGGGTCTTGGGCTCGGCATGGGAGGTAGGTACAGGGCCTTACGAAATTGCATGTAGATCCATTGTATTGAGAAGGTAGCTTCTCCAAGCCTAGCTTCGAAGTACCCACTTCCTTGCCTGATAGGCCAAACCCAACTTTTGCAATTTTGGGATGCTCGTCCTCCTGCCAAAGACTCTGTCCCTTCGTTTGGCCCTCTCCCTCCCTGTTGGGTGCAAAACTTATTTTGCACGTCAACCTGTTGCCTATTGGTCGAGCGATGTGAAATTTGAAGGTATATTTTTTAAAGTATTTTATGTGGTGTATTTTGGCCTTACGAAATTGCATGTAGATCTATTGTATTGAGAAGGTAGTTTCTCCAAGCCTAGCTTCGAAGTACCAACTTCCTTGCCTGATAGGCCTAACCCAACTTTTGCAATTTTGGGATGCTGGTCCTCCTGCCAAAGACTGCGTCCCTTCGTTTGGCCCCTTCCCTCCCTGCTGGGTGCAAAGCTTATTTTGCACGTCAACCTGTCGCCTATTGGTCGAGCGATGTGAAATTTGAAGGTATCTGTTTTAAAGTATTTTATGTATTGTAGAATGCGCACTTGTATACTGATCATTTTGGCGTATACGTTTGTGAATCGCCTCAGCGGTTCAGGAGTTATGTGCATTTTAGTGTGAGGTTGCATTCATGTGTTTTCATGATTGTTCGTGTGAATTCCGTGCTGTTCGTGTTGCGCCATGAAGGTGTGTAAAGTTCCAAGTGAGCATGTGCTTTCGTGAGCCTTCGCGTATTCATGAATGTTTGCGTGGTGTTCGTGCGAGCGCTCATGCACGTTCATGTGCGTTCATGTTTGCTCATGACCGTTTATGTTTCGGTCATGTTTATTCATGTTTTTGTTCGTGTATTTTTCATGAGTGTTCATTGTGTGAGTCGAGTGTGCCGGGGAGGTGGGGCTCGATGTTTGACCAAGCCCTTTGACCAGTCTCGAGCTGGTCAAAAAGCGCGCGACTGTCAGGACCCGAGCGTGAGGTCCTGACATGCGCGTGTGGGCCCTCAGGTCCACGCGTGTGGCTGGGCACTGCTGCGCGAGGGCACAAGGCCAATGATCGCAACGTGACAACGCACGTTTGTGCGCTGTACAGCACGACCGAAATATCGGTCGTTCATGATTGCGCACCTGAGGGTTGCGCGTGTGTTTCAGGGGGTGCCGTGGGATCCTGAGGGGTGCTCGGGATTTGACTCGAAGTTTCAGCTGAAAAACTGAAATTCGAGTCTTGTCTCTTGTGACGTGGCACAAGGACATTTCGCCAGAAGCTGAGCATTTAAAGGTAACAGTTTTACTACAGGTACGAAACGGTGAAAACCCGTTTAACAAATGTAAATAGTGGGAAAACGGAAATTTCCACACGAGCGTTCATGATTCCACTTGTGCGTTCATGATCGTTCGCAAGAGGAGTCAGCAGGGGCATTTGGCAGACATGAAAGTTGAAGACGGTTATTTCAAGGACTCGGATCAAGCCAAATGCAGCAGAAGTTTGGCAACCGTTTTTCCAGACAGCAAGGCAAAGTTCTAGAGATACAGTTAATCAACCGTTAGCTATTTTCCTCTGCATGTGTGTTAGGCGAAATATATATATGCGTGCTTGTGCGAAGTTGTCATGCACACTTTGTGAATGAAAATTGCTCTATCATCTTATTGACGTGAAGAGCTGATTCTGCATACGAGCCAGTTCGTCGTCAACGCTGTGCAAACGAGCTTGGGAGCGTTCTAGTGCACGTCATTGGATTTACACTTAGTACGTCCCTCGACAAACATGGACCCTTGGTTAGGGGCTGGCTTTGCCAGGCACCCGAGCACCCTTGGAGGTGACCCCGTGGGGACTAACTAGTGTGTATTAAAGGCGTGCTTAGAGCTTCTAGATCCCATGTACTAGTCAACACTCCCCACTCCACCCACCACACCCAATCACAGTTCGCAATCGCTTGTGCGCTAGTTGTAGTTCTGCACCAATGAGCGGTGGCCGTCTCCGCTCACGCTCACACTGTGAACCACCAGCCGAGCAGATCCAAGCTTGGCCATTCCCATCGCCTCCCAGACTCCCACTTCCAAGTAGTACTGATGGAGTTTGGAGTATATTTCAAGGGCCATCTCTGAGCACCAAACAGGAGTCCTCCGCGTCGGACGCGGCGTCGTTCTTAGGCAACTTACTCATGTCAGAATGTTATGCTCTAGCCTGTAGTGTGGTGCTCTATAGCGAGTAAAATCCTTCTAGGGTTTGCTATTTGTATCCTCATTCTTGCTAGTGCAACCTCTCTTTTGCCTAAACTATTTCCTGCCTAGCTAGGGCTTTCCTAGCTATGGCTCCTAAGACTACTCCTTACTTTCACAACTCACACTCCGCACTTGAGGCTCTCGGTGTGCGATCTATTTTGACTGAAAGGCTTTGTCGGCGGACCCCATCTTTCTTTGCTATGGGGAGGATGACTGTGGGTGCCTCTCCTGCCGGCCTCTTGCTCCTCGCCGCGCTCGCCCTCATTTGCAGTCAGTCTACTTTAAAGTTCCTGCTCTAGTTTTTATCGAACCCCTTCTCAACTGTCTCTTCTTGTTTCCTCCTCTTTCTTGCATGATGTGGCATTGTTCACGCATAGCTCATGAAGGATACCTCAAAAAAAGCATCGCTTTGTTGGCATGTTTTGGGGGCCAGGAATATTGTGACGTTGTTCTCCCATCTCTGCCTTGATTTCCCTTCTCGGCACGATTCTCGCTTGTGCATTCAGCTGCCGGCATAATGAAGGCGGCAGCGTATGGCAACACCACTGTTGAAAAGACCACACGGCATGACACGGTCAACGCCGCAGCGTACAGAGATGACACGCTCAACGCAGCGGCCAAACCAGCAAGCAAGAATGACGCGAGGAGGGCTCTCGTGACCACCAGCAGTATCATCACCACCAGCGGCGGTGGAGCTGCGGGCGAGAAGGTCAACGCGAGGAGGGCTCTCGAGACCACCCCCAGCACCCCCAGCTTGCAGGTTGCGACGGCGGTGGTGATGGGCAAGACGTGGCTGGACTTCAGCAAACAGGTGTGCGTGAGCGTGCCCAAGAAGGCGCGGCAGAAAAGCGCGACGGTGTGGTGGAAGGGCGGCGGGGACTCGAGCACCGCGTCGGCGGGCGGTCAGTGCGCGCAGGTCAAGTTCTTCAGTAAAGCTGTCTGCCAAGGCACGCCAAGGACCAGCGCTGGACAGCATCGCCAACCCGTGCAGGTCTAGGTGAGTTGGGGTCGGTCTGTCAGAATCCCAACCACTAGACCATTGGGATAAAAGGGCTTGTTAAGTAGCGGGTTAGTGCGCCTATAACCCCCCAGGCCAACATGCCTGTAACCCTTCCCTAGGATCAATCGGGGATCACCAGTGGACCTCTGACACCCCCTCGCACTGGGATGCCCGAAGTGCATACACCGGGATTCGAACCCGAGACCTTCGCTCTGAAACCATGTCAGAATCCCAACCACTAGACCATTGGGATAAAAGGGCTTGTTAAGTAGCGGGTCAGTGCGCCCATAACCCCCTAGGCTAACGTGCCTGTAACCCTTCCCTAGGATCAATCATGGATCATCAGTGGACCTCTGACACGGTCGTGTGTCCGTGTGAGATTGGGGTCGTATGTCTATGTGACTTGGGGTCGTGCACGGCACAACAATAGGACGCGAGCATTGCATGAGTGGGGGAGGAGGGGATGGGGAGGGGAAGGGAGGAGCAGGAAATGGGAAGGGAACGTTCTTTGGGTTGCGGAGCAACCTATTGCAATCGACAGGGACTACTTTTTTTTTCGCATTTTTTTTTCAAAATCCTAGCAAAAAAATGGAAAAAGAAGAAGAAAACTATGGATAAGTTAAATAATCGTAACATATATGCTATCCTTCTTTTTCCTTCACATTGATTTAAGGCATATCTTTATGTTGTAAATCAGTCATCTACATAGATATATTTCGCAAGACTACTAACTCTGAAAATTTGCTGGTCATTGCTACTCTAAATCGTTCTTTTGTATTGCAAAAGATTCTGAAATTCGAACATATGTGGAGAAATGCAATGACCGACCAAACGATAATTGCATTTCTCATATTCATCAAACGAATTGACGAATGTTTGAAGTCCTAATTTTATACTACCGCTTCCTCTGCCTAGCATGTCAGGGAAGTCAGCAATATAAACGTTGAGTTAAACAATTAACAGAGCAATACACTCTGCATATCCCAAAAAAATATCTACACCGATCAAGTCCAGCTGAAAATGGCTTCACTGTTATAGTGGTGGACCACTCAACCTTTTGTGACGATGATCGGCAGGATAGTTTTTTGAAACACGCAGACATGCATTACGGCTACAACGAGAAGCATAACACAAACAGAAACGAAACAAATAAAAAATTACTCATAATTACAATAATTAAAAAAAGCACTGTAAGTTGTACAAGACAACCCCTTCCTTCCATTCCATCCTGCCTACAAACCAATATCCGCGATAACAAAAGAAAAAAGAAGCATCGAATCGAATGCAAGAAAAAAAGATGTAATATTAAGACTTGAAGTTTAGGAGAGAATGAAGAGAATGGCTGTAAAAGATCATTAAAACATCAAGACAAATGAAATCCCAGAACGAGAGAGAGGGAACGAGAGAGAGAGAGAGAGAGAGAGAGAGAGAGAGAGAGAGAGAGAGAGAGAGAGAGAAAGAGAGAGAGAGAGAGAACGAGAGAGAAGGAACGAAGAGAGGGAACAAGAGAGAGGGAACAAGAGAGAGGGAACAAGAGAGAGGGAACGAGAGAGAGGAGAACGAGCGAGAGAGAACGAGCAAGAGAGAACGAGCGAGAGAGAAAGAGAGAACGAGAGAGAGAACAAGACAAGAAGGGATGGATGAAGCAAGATGGAAGGAGCAAATGAGAAATTAGAACGAGAATGAATTGACTAAGGAATGAAAGTGATACAAATGTGAAACCCTAGAATTGTGTACCCCTTAGTACCTAACCCGCTTCAGCCTACACACGCTAGATCATATAAGTTTGACACACCCCCATAGGCAAAGTGGGGGAGAACAAGGGGTCACAAGACCAGTCAAGCAAAGCAAGGCAAAGCAAGCTCAGGGTGGATCACAACGTCACCACACATTCTGAGCACAGGTTCAAGGCCACAAGGCCAGTTCACATGCATGAGTATACACATATATAGAACGCTAAACAAGCAAGAGCAGGTATATATATATATGTAACAGTACAAGCAAGGTCAAGAAGTGAGCAAGTGAGGCAAGGTAGGTACAAGACCTAATAGAGTACAGAAGCGCTGATGGTCACAAGGCGCAAGTGCCTTGGTGAAGATATCAGCAGTGTTGGCCTCAGAGGCCACGTAAGCAAGACGCAGCTGACCGCGCTGCTGCAGCTCACGAGCATGGAAGTAGCGAAGAGCGATGTGATTCGTTCTATGCTCCAGTCTGTGCTCCCGACACAAGGCCAGCATAGCCTTGTTGTCTACGTACAGATTTGGAGGAGAACGAGGCGGCTCTTCTAGGCCACTCAGCAGGTAGGTGAGCCAGCGTACTTCCTGTGCAGCCATGGCCCCAGCGTAGATCTCAGCCTCACAATTGGAGCCAAGAACAGAAGATGAGCGGGTAGACCGCTACAAAACAGAGCCAGAACCAAGGCTGAAGGTGTAACCCTGTGATGACCGCTGCGTAGCGTGGTCGTCAGCCCAAGAAGCGTCTGCGTGACCAGTGAGGACCACTGGACTCCGCCCTCCAAGCACAAGCCCCATGCCCGACGTACTGCACAAGAAGCGCAACACCCTCTTTGCTGGAGCCATATGCTCCGGTCTGTGTCTCCCAAGAGCAACATAGCGTGCCAGAATGCTAAGAGGGTATGCAAGGTCAGGTCGAGTGCAAGTCATCAGGTACATGAGGCAGCCAACAAGCTCTCGGTACAGACCACTCAACTCTACGGACTCATCCGAAGGCAGAGGTGAGAGCGAGTGGCGAGTAGACAGAGGAGTGGCCTGAGGCGAGGAGTACGTGAAGTCAAAGCGCTGAAGGACCTGCTGCACCATGTGTGACTGAGTCAGGGTAATGGTGCGCTGTATTCTGTCACCCAGGTGATCTCCAAGCTAAGGTAGCTGCGCAGTGGACCCAGGTCTGTGCACGTGTGTCTCTTCTGCAGCTCGGACTTCACGTGGGCGAGTCCAGCAATGTCAGCTGTGGCAAAGACCAAGTCGTCGACGTACACGAGGATGTAGAACGGCGGCAAAGAAGTGTCGGTGCGCAGAAACAGCGACGGGTCAGCAGTACAGGGAGCAAACCCAAGAGCCGCAAGCGTAGTTCTCAGTGTGTCGTGCCACTCGCGCGGTGCCTGGCGGAGACCATAGACTGGCCGTCAGAGGCTCCACTGGGTGCCAGGAGGAAAAGACCCAGTGAAGCCAGGTGGGCGGCGCAGCCAGATCTCCTCGTGCAGGCTGCCCTGCAAGAAAGCAGTTCTGAAGTCAAGAGAGTGAAGCTCGTAGTCACGGTGAGCGGCTATGTGCAGCAGTACCCAAAGAGTGGTCATCTTCGGGGCGAGAGAGAAGGTCTGAAAGTAGTCAACTCCCTGCCGCTGACTGAAGCCACGAGCCACGTAGCGCGCCTTGAAGACAGGCAGAGAACCCGGCGGCCGCTTCACCCTGAAAATCCACATGCCACTGACGATGTTCGCCCCAGGAGGGGGAACCTCATCGACGTAGGTGCCTGTGGACTTCCAGGAAGCCATCTCTGCATCCATGGCTGCCTGCCACTGAGAGGAGTAGGGACCCTCTATTGCCTCTGCGAAGAGCACGGAGTCGGGATGTCTGGTGCATCCGGGTCTCCCTCAGGGGCAAGCAGCATGGACACGAGATGAGGTGAAGCAGCAGCAAAGCACTGGAACTCCTCCTGCCTATCCTCAAGGACGTCCATGCAAAGGGCACACTCACCCCCGACGTACGGAGGACAGACAGACTCAGACTCAGCGACAAGACTAGTAGCGTAGTCTAGGCGACAGTGAGCAGCGAAGTTGACAAGCTCAGAAACTAAGGCAGACGCAGCAACGGACTCAAAGGAAGGTTCTGTGACGACAGTAGCAAGGAGACGCGTGACACTAGGATTGGCAGCACAAAGGGAGTCCGACTACGGGTCAGCAAGAACAGGAAGAGAGGACTCAGGAGGAGAAGGCAAAGGGGCACGCTGCGGAGAAGTGGAGGGACGCAGAGACATCCGGTGCGTGCCAGGGACAGGGGGAGGACGTTGACACGAACCACGACTACTAGCGCGAGCAGCACGGACAGGCAACGCAGGACGAGACGCAGGCTCACGACGCTCAACAAGACCTTCAGTAGGACAAGTGTATGGAGAAGGAGTAGGCAGAGGAAAGGTAGGCTGTAACTGTGACTCGGACTGGACAATAGGTGGACACTATAGGGTGGAAGACCAAGAACCTGCTCAAGGAGCGGAACGAAGTACGCGCGCGGCCGCTCAGCACCACCAGCACCAGAAGGGTCAGCACCAGCACCCCGAACGACAGCACCAGCGCCAGCAGCACCCCCAGCTCCAGCAGCGCCAACTCAAGTACCCTCAGAGGCACCAACACTAGAGGCGCCCTTAGCCCCAACACCCCCAGAAGCTCCAGCTCCAGCCGGACCACCAGAAGTCGCAGCGCGTCCAACTCCAGCACCCTCAGTAGCACCAACGCACGCAGCACCACCAGCTCCAGTACAAGAAGCACCCGCAGGCCCAGCAGCTCCAGTACTCCCAGTACGAGCACCTCCGGGACCCGCGGCACCAGCACCCTCCGCAGCAGCAGAACCTCTAGCACCCGCAGCACCTCCCGCTCCAGCAGCTCGCCTCCAGCGCCAAGCAAACCACTCACGCAGCTCCTGTGGAGAGAGTAGCTCCCGCCGGGATGAAGCACTCGAAGAACCTCCAGGCCCACCACCGCCAGATGCCACACGAGCAGGTCCAGTATCCTCACACTCCGCACCCCCAAACGCAGCACCCCCAAGCTCAGCACCCCCAGACGCAGCACCCCCAGGCGTAGCACCCCCAGGCTCAGCACCCCTAGGCGCAGCACCCCAAGAGTCAGCACCCCCAGGCTCAGCACCCCCAGAGTGAGCATTCCCCGACCCAGCACCCTCAAGCTCAGCACCCCTAGCAGCACCAGAGTCAACAGCTACCTCGACAGGGTCGACTGCGTCTACCTGGGACACACCTGAGGGGGCAGGACCCTGAAGGGGGAGGGGGTCTACCGAAGGGGGACCTGGCGCAAGGAAGAGCGGCGGGGGGGGAGGGACGCAGTGCGGTAGGGGAAGAGACGGTAGTAGGGAACCGACTCGTCAAACGTGACGCCCTAGGAGGACAAAACACGGCGCGAGGTGGGGTGGTAGAACTGCCAGCCCGGCGCGTCAGGGGGGAAGCCAAGGAAGACGCAGGGAACAGCACGAGGGGACAGCTTGTCCGCAGACAAGTCGCGGACAAACGCCCGAGATCCCCAGACACGGAACGCAGACGCATCGCCAACCTTCCCCGTCCACAGCAAAGTAGGGGAGGTCTGCGGCATGGAGACCCAGGGCTGAAGGTTGATCTGATGCGCCGCGTAACGAACCGCAAACGGCCACAGAAAATGGGGGGTAGCCGTATGGACCATGGACATATGAGCAACATACATGACCATGCCAATGCGGCGCTCAGCAATCCCATTTTGCTGCGTTGAGTCTGGAAGCGTGAAGGACTGGCGGATGCCTCGTGCACGACAGAAGGCTGGCAGAAGGTCAGAGGAGAACTCTCCCTCTCTGTCAGAGTGCAGACGCAGAACAGGAAAGTACGAGCCGAAACTCTTTCTGAGCTGGAGACGAGCTGCGCGGATCCAGGCGATCAACACCTCAGTGACCTCACCCTTGCTGCGCAAGGGGAAGACTGCGGTGTAACGCGAGTAGTCGTCTATCACCGGCAGGAAGTAACGCTCGTGACCCTGTCCACGGACACGGGCTGGGCCCCACACGTCCATGTGAAGCGTCTGCAGCGGAGCCTCTGTCGGAGGAAACTTGGAGGAGTGAGGAGCAGCGCGCTGCCGCCCCTCGACGCAGGGAACGCAGGCGGGGGCAGGCCCCGGAGGAAGGGGAGGGAGGGACCGGGGGAGACCAGGGACAAGGACACGGGAGGCCATGCCTTGAAGACGAGGCAGGGAGGGGTGACCAAGGCGGTGGTGCCAAAGGAGAGTCTGGTGAGACAAGAGACGACACGAGCAGGGGGCAGACTCAGGACCAGACCTGGACGCTGCAGCAAACACCTGACCCGACGCGGCTACCTGAGCAGACTCTGCGACCGGAGGAGACTCAGTAGTCAGTGTGTACACGCTCGACCCCAGCTGACGGGTAAACGTGGCCAAGTGACGGCTCGTCCGAGCACAGGTACAGTGGGTCACTCACTAACTCGTAGGAGTGAACTGGTGAACCCCTCCATCCTGGAGGTCAGCACCACTCACCAAGTTCGTAGAGAACGAGGGGAGGTAAAGACTTGACAGGGTGCAAGAAGGGGCCGCGGGACACGGTAGAACAGTGGAGAAGTGGGCAAGGATAGGACCCCCAGAGGGGTCTACCAGGGAGACTGCCACTGGCCAACTAAGCGGCGTAAGCGTGGTGCAGTCTCAAAAGAAGGAGCGGGAAGCACCCGAGTCAAGGGTGAAGGTGTGGGTGGTTGGAGCCGACGCGGTACCTGAGAGCGCAGACTCACCAGTACTTGGGGCAGCAGGCTCACTAGCACCTAGAGCAGCAGCCTCACCAGCACCTAGAGCAGCAGCCTCAATGCCCGGGTCAGGCGGAAAACACTGGTAACTGTCACCCTCTTCACTAATAGTCACAGCATACATTGCGGCAAGAATAGCATCATAATCAAGATCAAAGATCGCAACACCCGCCCTAAACAGCTCACCCGTGCGGTCGCCTGTACGTAGAACATAGGTATAGGGGCCAGCACTCCCACCTCGCTAACGAGCAGTGTACCACTCACGAAGCTGCTCGAGGGAAGGGGTCTCACGAGTGCGCTACTGCTGCTGCTGCTGGCGCTGACCACCACCGGAGCCGACCCTCTGCGAAGAGCTGCCCCGACCAACTCCACCTCCGCCGCCGCTGCCTCCACCACCGCCTCCACCTCCACCACCTCCGCTCGCACCGCCACCACCGCCGCCTCCTCCGCCTCCACTGCCGCCACTAGTGCCCCCACTCCCGCCACCACTCCCATCGCCACCCCCACCCCCTCCGCCGCCTCCACTGCCGCCTCCGCCGCCCCCGCCAGCTCCTCCAGCGCCCTTGCCCCCCTTGCCCTTGCTTGAGCGGCGTCTCTCACTAGGGGCAGACGCCGCGCCGACCGACTCAAGACCAACAAGGTCGGCCGCAGCAGCAAAAGCAACAGAGGGCAAGAGGGGGGAGGGGGAGCACCCCTCAAAGACAGGGGTACGAGGGTCACCACGAGAGGCTCCTACAATGACTATACTCTTTTCTGCTGCTAGGAGGCGCTCCTCAAGGAGGTCAACGGTGAGGGTGGTGGGGCAAACAGAAAGGAAGTGGTCCCTGACCGAGCGAAGGGTGTCAAGGAGTCGGGTGACTATGTAGTAGAGGGTGATGTACATAGGGGGGGGGGGGTTCTTGGCGCAGAACTCAGCAGGAAGCGCAGCGCGGTAGCGAATGTCACTAGTGCGAAGGTGCGTAATGAGGTCTGCGACTGTGGGAAAAGCGGCGAGGTCAGGGAAGAGGTAAGGCAGTATGAGGCGGCTAAGGGCAGCAGTGGCAGGGGAAGAGTAGCGTGCAATGACAGCTTCGTACAAGGTTTTAGCACTGCTGTACTGACTAAAATGCGCGCGCTCAGCGGTCGGTAAGTGGCGGCGTACAGCAAGGCGAGCAGCAGCATCGCGCGTGGCCCACTGTGAGCAAACAGTGGCATCAGCAACAGCAGCAGGGGCAGGAGAGGCACCAGAGGTGAGGTCAAACATAGAGAGACCGTCTGCCCTATCGCAGTGTAGGAAAAGCTGCAGATTATCTACTTAGACCTCAAAGTCAACAGCCCGACCCTCGGCGTCAAAGGTGAGAACACTGGGGGTGGCCGACAGAAGTAGACTGGCAAAGAGAGCAGCGGGGTAGGGCGGTGCAGTTGCAGAGGCGCTGCTCTTACCAGGCAGGTGGGGCGGGCCGAGGCAGGCCGGCAAGGATAGGGCCGCGACTGCAGGGACTATGGTGTCTAGGCTGCGGCGGCGTGGCGGCTCGGCGGTTCGGCGGCTCGGCTGCAGGGTGGCTCGGCGGCTCGGCGGCTCGGCAGCTTGGCGGCTCGGCGGCTCGGCGGCTCGGCAGTTCGGCGGCTTGGCGGCTCGGCAGCTTGGCGGCACGGTGGTGACGGCGGCTCGGCTGCTCGACGGGGCCAGGAAGGGCGGGTGAGGGGCCGAGGAAGGGCGGCAGGGCCGCAAAGGGCGGCGACGGGGCCGCAAGGGGCGGCAACGAGGCCGCTGAAGGGCGGCGACGAGGCCGCTGAGGGGCGGCAACGGGGCCGCTGAAGAGTGGCGACGAGGCCGCGAAAGGGCGGCGACGGGGCCGCTGAAGGGCGGCAATGGGGCCGCTGAAGGACGGCGACAGGGCCGCGGAAGGGCAGCAATGGGGCCGCTGAAGGGCGGCGACGGGGCCGCGGAGGGGCGGCGACGTGGCCGTTGAAGGGCGACAACGAGGCCGTAAGGGGCGGTCGTGGGGCCGCTGAAGGGCGGCGACGAGGCCGTAAGGGGCGGACGCGGGGCTGTGAGGGGCGGCGACTGGGCCGTAAGGGGCGGTCGCGGGTTTGTGAGGGGCGGCGACGGGGCCGTAACGGGCGGTCGTGGGGCCGTGAGGGGCGGCGACGGGGCCGTAAGGGGCGGTCGCGGGGCCGTAAGGGGCGGTCGCGGGGCCGTAAGGGGCGGCGATGGGGCCGCTAAGGGGCCACGCGGGGCCTAGAGAGGGCAGCAACGGGGCCTGAGGGGCCGCTAAGAAGGGCACGACGGGTCGCTAGGGTGGGACACTAGGTACGCTTCGGGCAGGGGCGGCACGCGCCCCGGGTAGGGGAAAAAAAAAAATCTTGGTGGGCCCTAGGAACAGTTCCCACGAGGGAACCTGCTTGATACCATGAGAAACTTAGAACGAGAATGAATTAAGTAAGGAATGAAAGTGATACAAATGTGAAACCCTAGAATTGTGTACCCCTTAGTACCTAACCCGCTACAGCCTACACAGGCTAGATCATATAAGTTTGACAGCAAACAGAGGTTACGAGAAGAAGTGGTGGAAACGTTGGAAATGATAACAAGGAACAAAGTCTAGAGAAGTTGATAACAGGAAATGACTAAGTGAAAGAAAGAGAAATTTGGAGGTAAACAAGAGAGCGATCGTACATAAATGGGAAGTATATTCAAGAGAGAAGAGGGAAGGCTAAAGAGAGCGAGAGGGGAAACTAAGAGGCTTCTAAGCTCACCTTAGCAATTACTAAGATGAAATGCAGGGGGGTGGAGGTATGAATAGTTGAAGCACGAACTAGTTGAAGCAGAAGCACTAGGAACGACGAGGAGTAGGAGATGCCAGGGATAAAAGAGAAAGGCAAACCCTAAGTTGAATTGGTTGGAAGCGATAATAATTTTACCAGTCATATGTTTGGTCATATCTTGACAGCCTCGATAGCACAGTGCTTTCAGTTACTTCACCAGATCCATTGGTCGGGAGATCGATTTTCACCACCAGTTCATTCGAATCTTTGTTGGAAGTGTTTCTTTAACCAGAAACACTAGCGGTACGTGCTTTGCTCATCCGCTAGTCAACTCCCGTGGTACGTATTTGCTGGACCAATTAAGGCCCCTCAAAAGTCCACAAGTCAATTGCAGCAGTACAACTATTGCTGATCCTCCTAGAAGGTGCTTTGCATCCGACCGACGTGATTCCGACGTTGCAACTAACTACCTTCTCAAGGGCGTGATTCCAAAGTGTGTGCTTCCAAAGTGCGTGATTCAGAAAAACTCGGTTATGAGAGCAGGTGTGGCTCTGATGCTGCTTGGGTGTGAGCAGCGATGCCCCCCTCTGTGCCAACTAAAATCTTGCCAAGCATATAACCTAGTGTTCAAGTGCCTTGGCGGTGGTTTGAGGGCATAGACGGCCACACTAAAACATGTGGCATTTCAATAACGCCCTCTACGGTCCTGTACATCATTCCTATGCCCCTATGTTGTAACTACGCTTTTTTATATCTTCGTTTGCTGCTCATCTTTGTGTTCCTTTTTTGCCTGTGTGCTGCAGATCCTGCGTGTGCGGCATTGGGCTGTGACCCCGGTGGCTCCTGTCAGGTGGATCAGAGCGGCAAGCTTTTCCGCCAGTGGGGTGAGTGAGAATGGCTGTCCCGCTTTCCCACTGTTACATCAACCCACGCGTCCGTATGTCAAGAACCATAGCCAAATAAAATCCCATGCATCCATTTTATAGGCCCCTTACAACTCAATGCCATTCTTTGGAATGGAATGTGTCCACTCCGTGAGAGCGAGGATCCACTATGTTTTACCTTTTTTCTTCTCCCTTGCTGTCTCCTCTATGTTCCTCAAGGAAGCCCACTGACATGTCACATCCCACCAATGCCCACCCTTCATTCGTAAAACTCCCAACATTTCTCTGCCCTTTTTGTTCTCCCTTTCTTCTCCCTTCCTTCTCCCTTTATTCTCCCTTGCTTCTCCCTTCCTTCTCCCTTTATTCTCCCTTGCTTCTCCCTTGCTTCTTCCTTGCTTCTCCCTTGCTTGCTGCGTTCTCCAGACTCTCCCCGTGGCACCTGCCCCAAAAGAGCCACCTGCAAAACAACATATAATTATATGAAGTATGTGCCGTCGGTGCCAGTGCGGTACTGCGAGTGCCCTGAAGGATCATATGGGATGAACGAGGCTTTTTGTCACGGTGAGCTTTTGTGGAGCATGATCAGTCCATTCTTTACTCTCCCCATGAGCAAGTCGCCTCTCTGCTTCAATCATTCTCACCCTACCAAGCTGCCAAATGCCTGATATTGGCCTTAGTTATTTGAACATGGCGATCATGTAAGAATTGTTGCAATGATCCGTTCCATTCCATGTGCCACTCCTTTGCAGCTGGTCCCGCGCGCGCTTTTGCTTTCACCTTCACGGTCATAGCCAATGAAACTGCCAAGGACAAAGCTTCTCGGCCCTACACCTTCGGCCTCGACAACCACATATGCACGCAGCTCCCGGATGCAGTGGCGGGGAAGGTCACAGCAGTGTACTTTATCACAACCACCAACCGCTACTTACCATTTTGCCCCAAAGTCAGAATTTACCCATCAGAGAACTGTTTCAACGAGTCTTCACAGAATGGGACTTCCGCTCACAGATTGTGACAGATTATATATCGTACCAGTAAGTGATTATCGTTCTCCACACCTGTACTATTTTTACTACGTGCCTTTACCTATTATTTCGCTTCCCTTTACTGTACTCTTCTTTCTGTACTCACATTGCTATCTGCCTGCCAGGGACATTATGAACCCAGAGGACCAATCGGCAATGGCGCTCCAAAATATGCGCTTAGCAGTTTGCCTCCTAGAAGGCCGCAACACGTATACGTAGGAAGCTGGCTACAATCTCTCAATATGGTGTCATCTGCACATGCTTCTTCAGCATAATTGGCTTCTCTCCCTTTCTCTATGAATATCCAAGTTATGGTAAAACGTTTTTGTAACTGTCAAACTACAGTATATTTGCATGATATAGAGTATAACATTTGTAAGGGTTGTATTTGTACCATATCACCCTTGCTTCCTAGTCACATTCTCCAATTCTAACTTTGAGATGGTATCACGAGCTAGATACCGTCAGCCCTCGGATACAAGCGCCCCTTGGGGAATATAAAAATACTGTTTTTTAGGGGGTGGGCTTATATTTGAGGAATTTTATAAGCGCCGGTGCTTATATAATGACATATATGAAATCTATTTTTTTTACCCTAAAGTGTTGATCTCATCCTTGCGATTTGAATCGAATCGATCTAGTAGAGGGCAATAAATGTGAATTTCGCGTAAATTGGTAGTGGCTGATTCCCTGCCAACACACACAGTCACAATGAGTCAGATTGACCCCATGATAGCTCATTCTGACTGGACGCAAAGGCATTGAGTCGCACGAGGGGGAAGGGTTTCGAAATTCTGAATGTGGGGATGCAGAATTGTTTTTCGTTACTGCGATTCCAGTAAAATATATAAAAACAAATTTCAGAGGGTGGTGCTTATAATCCGTAAGCGTTCAGGGTTGCGCTTATAATCGAGGACCGGATATAAGCGCCCTCATCCCTTTATAAGCGCCGGTGCTTGTCCGAGGCCTGCGCTTCTATCCGGGGGCTTACGGTAAGGTTTCTGAGCCTAGCCTAGCCTGCCCCACCTGTTCCCTAGCTTAGCCTAGCCCCCCGTCCCGATCCTAAGCAGGCCAAGGCCAAACCCGCCCCATTCGTAGCCAGCTGCGCGTGTGAAGAAATGAGGAATGAATGAACTAGGAAAGTGTGTGATACAAATATGAAACCCTAGAAACCTGTACCCCTTAGTGTCTACCCCACTAGAGCCTACAAACACTATGTCATATATATCCGACAGACCCCCATAGGCAAAGTGGGGGTGAACTAGGGGTCACAAGACTAGTCAAGCAAAGCAAGCTCAGGGTGGATCACAATGTCACCACACATTCCGAGCACCAGTTCAAGGCCACAAGGCCAGTTCACATGCAGGATTATATATAGAGGTAAACAAGCAAGTGCAGGTATATATAGGTCAAAGTACAAGCAAGGTCAAGAAGTGAGCAAGTGAGGCAAAGTACGTACAAGACCTAACAGAGTACAGAAGCGCTAATGATCACAAGGCACGAGTGCCTTGGTGAAGATATCAGCAGTGTTGGCCTGAGAGGCCACGTAAGCAAGTCGCAGCTGACCACGCTGCTGCAGCTCACGAGCAAGGAAGTAGCGAAGAGCAATGTGCTTCGTTCTGTGCTCTAGTCTCTGCTCACCACACAAGGCCAGCATGGTCTTTTTGTCTACGTACAGAACAAGAGGAGAACAAGGCGGCTCTCTGAGGTCAGTCAGCAGATAGGTGAGCTAGTGTAAGTCTTATGGAGCCATGTGTGAAACTGAAACGAGAATAAAAAGACAGAGGGAAAGTTGGGTACAAGAACAAACCCTAGAAAGTTGTAGCCCATATGTGCTACCCCAGTATAGCCTACAGCAGCTAAGTCATATAAATCTGACACACCCCCATAGGCAAAGTGGGGGAGGACAAGGGGTCACAAGACCAGTCAAGCAAAGCAAAGCAAGCTCAGGGTGGATCACAACGTCACCACACATTCCGAGCACACGTTCAAGGCCACAAGGCCAGTTCACATGCAGGATTACATATATATTTATAAGGCTAAACAAGCAAGAGCAGGTGTATATATATATGTATATGTGACAGTACAAACAAGGTCAAGGGGTGAACAAGTTAGGCAAGGTAGGCACAAGACCCAGCACTATACAGAAGCGCTGATGATCACAAGGCGCAAGTGCCTTGGTGAAGACATCAGCAGTGTTGGCCTGAGAGGCCACGTAAGCAAGGCGCAGCTGACTACGCTGCTGTAGCTCACGAGCAAGGAAGTAGCGAAGAGCAATGTGCTTCGTTCTGTGATCCAGTCTCTGCTCCCGACACAAGGCCAGCATGGCCTTGTTGTCTACGTATAGTACTGGAGGAGAACGAGGCGGCTCTCTAAGGTCAGTCAGCAGGTAGGTAAGCCATCAAAGCTCCTGTGCAGCCAAGGCCCCTGCGTAGATCTCAGCCTCACAACTGGATCCAAGATCAGAAGACGAGCGGGTAGCCCGCCATGAAACAGAGCCGGAACCAAGGCTGAAGGTGTAACCTTGTGACGACCGCTGCGTAGCCTGGTCGTCAGCCCAAGAAGCGTCTGCGTAGCTAATGACGACCACTGGACTCTGCCCTCCAAGCACAAGCCCCATGCCCGACGTACTGCACAAGTAGCGCAACACCCTCTTCGCTGCAGCAATGTGCTCCGGTCTGTGTCACCCAGGAGCAACATAGCGTGCACGAATGCTAAGAGGGTATGCAAGGTCAGGTCATGTGCAGGTCATCAGGTACATGAGGCAGCCAACAAGCTCTGGGTACGGGCCAATCGACTCTACGGACTCATCCGAAGGCAGAGCTGAGAGCGAGTGGCCTGAGGCGAGGAGTACGTGAAGCCGAAGCGCTGAAGGACCTGCTGCACCATGTGTGACTGAGTCAGGGTAATGGTGCGGCATGCTCTGTCCCGGGTGATCTGCAAGCCAAGGTAGCTGCGCAGTTCACCCAGGTCTGTGCACGTGTGTCTCTTCTACAGCTCGGACTTCACGTGGGCGAGTCCAGCAGTGTCAGGTGTGGCAAAGACCAAGTCGTTAACGTACACGAGGATGTAGAACGGCGGCAAAGAAGTGTCGGTGCGCAGAAACAGCGACGGGTTGGCAGTAGAGGGAGCAAACCCAAGAGCCGCAAGCATAGTCCTAGGTCTGCGTCCATAGCTGCCTGCCACTGAGAGGAGTAGGGACCCTCTATCGCCTCCGCGTAAGAGCGCGGAGTGGGGATGTCAAGTGCATCCGGGTCTCCATCAGTGGTAAGCAGCACGGACACGAGATGAGGTGAAGCAGCAGCCAGACACTGGAACTCCTCCTGCCTGTCCTCAAGGACATCCGTGCCAAGGGCACACTCACCCCCGACGGACGGAGGACAGAGAGACCGAGACGCAGCAACAAGACTAGCAGCGTAGTCTAAACGACAGCGAGCAGCAAAGTCGACGAGCTTAGCAACTAGGGCAGACGCAGCAGTGGACTAAAAGGAAGGGTCAGTGACAACAGTAGCAAGGAGACGTGTGACAGTCAGACTGGCAGCACGAAGGGAGTCCGACTCAGGGTTAGCAAGAGCAGGAAGAGAGGACTCAGGAGGAGAAGGCAAAGGGGCACGCAGAGGAGCAGTGGACGGATGGAGAGACATCCGGTGCGTGCCGGGCATAGGGGGAGGACGCTAACGCGAACCACGACCACTAGCGCGAGCAGCACGGACAAGCGACGCAGGACGAGATGTAGGCCACAACGCTTAGCAAGACCTCTAGTAGGACCAGTGTAGGGAGAAGGAGCATGCAGCGGGGAGGCCGGCTGTAACTGTAACTGTGACGGGACAGGCTGTGGAAACTCTAAAGGAGGAGGACGACCAGTAGATGGCGGGAGACCAAGAACCTGCTCAAGGAGCGGAACAAAGTACGACCGAGGCCACGCAGCGACTCCAGACACAGTAGGGACAGCACCAGTACCCCCAGTGGTAGCACTAGCGACAGCAGCACCTTCAGCTCCAGTACCCCAAGCAGCTCCAGTAGCTCCAGGACCTCCAGCAGCACCAGTAGCACCCCCAGCAAGACCGCCTTCAGTACCGCCAGCAGTACCCTGAGCACCAACACCCTCAGCAGCTCCAGCTCTAGTCGGACCACGAGAAGACGCAGTGGCTCCAGCTCTAGTAGTACCCGCAGGCCCCGCAGCTTCAGTACTCCCAGTAGGAGCACCTCCAGGACCCGTGGCACCAGCACCCTCATCAGCCGAAGAACCTCAAGCTCCAGCAGCATGCCTCCAGCGCCGGGCAAACCACTCACGCACCTCCTGTGGAGAGAGTGGCTCTCGTCAAGACGGAGAAACCGGAGAACCTCCAGGCCCAGCATCGCCAGACGCCACACGAGCAGGCCCAGCTCCCTAAGGCTCCGCACCCCCAGGCTCAGCACCTTCACGCGTAGCACCCCAAGGCTCAGCACCCCAAGACTCAGCACCCCCAGACTCAGCACCCCCACGCTCAGCACCCCCAGTCAGAGCACCCTCAGACTCAGCACCCCCAGGCTCAGCACCCCCAGGCGTAGCACCCACACGCTCAGCACCCCCAAAGTCAGCACCCCCAGGCTCAGCAGCCCCACCAGCACCTGAGTCACCAGCGACCTTGATAGGCTCAACTGCGTCTACCTGGGACACACCTGAAGGGGCAGGACCCTGAGGGGAAAGGGGGTCTACTAGGGGGGGGACCTGGTACAAGGAAGAGCGGCAGCGGGGGAAGGGACGGAGTGCGGTAGGGGAAGAGGCAGTAGTAGGGGACCGACTCGTCAAACGTGACGTCCTAGGAGGACAGAGCACGGCGAGAGGTGGGGTGGTAGAACTGCCACCCAGGCGCGTCAAGGGGGAAGCCAAAGAAGACGCAGGGAGCAGCACGAGGGGACAGCTTGTCCGCAGACAAGTCGCGGACAAATGCCCGAGATCCCCAGACATGGAATGCAGACGCATCGCCAACCTTCCCCGTCCACAGCAAATCTGAGGAGGTCTCCGGCATGGAGACCCGGGGCTGAAGGTTGATCTGATGCGCCGCGTACCGAACCGCAAACGGCCACAGAAAATGGGGGGCAGCCGCATGCATCATGGACGTACGGGCGACGTCCATGACCATGCCAATGCGGCGCTCAGCAATCCCATTTTGCTGTGGAGAGTCCGGAAGCGTGAAGGTCTGGTGGATGCCTCGTGCACGACAGTGGCTCCCAGAAGGCCAGAGGAGAACTCTCCGCCTCGATCAGAGTGCAGACGCAGAAGAGGAAAGTCCGAGCCGAAACTCTTCCTGAGCAGGAGACGAGCTTCGCGGATCCAGTCGATCAACACCTCAGTGACATAAACCTTGCTGCGCAAGGGGAAGACTGTGGTGTAACGGGAGTAGTCGTCAACCACCAGCAGGAAGTAGCGCTCGTGACCCTGTCCACGGACGCGGGCCGGGCCCCACACGTCCATGTGAAGCGTCTGCAGCGGGGATCCTGTAGGAGGAAACTGGGAGGAGTGAGCGGCAGCACGCTGCCGCCCTTCGACACAGGGGACGCAGGGAGGGGCAGGCCCCGGAGGAAGGGGAGGGAGGGACCGGGGAAGACCAGAGACAAGGACGCGGGAGGCCATGCCTCGGAGATGAGGCAGGGAGGGGTGACCAAGGCGGTGGTGCCAGAGGAGAGTCTCGTGAGACAAGAGGCGACACGAGCAGGGGGCACACTCAGGACCAGACTTGGACGCTGCAGCAAACACCTGACCTGACGCAGCTGCCTGACCAGACGCAGTGTCTGGAGGAGACTCAGTGGTCATTGTGTACAAGCTCGACCCCGGCCGACGTGTAAACGTGGCCAAGTGTCGGCCCGTCCGAGCGTCCGTGCAGTGGGTCACTCGCTGGCTCGCATAAGTGAACTGGTGAACCCCCGCATCCTGTAGGTCAGCACCACTTACCAAGTTCGTAGAGAACGAGGGGAGGTAAAGACCAGACAGGGTGCCAGAGGGGGCTAGTGGACACGGGAGGACAGTGGAGAAGTGAGCAAGGAGAGGACCCCAAGAGGGGTCTGCCAGAGAGACTGCAACTGGCCGACCAAGTGGCGTAAGTGTGGTGCGGTCGCAAAAGAAGGGGCAAACGCCGCACCGACCGACTCAAGACCAACGAGGTTGGCCGCAGCAGCAGAGGCAAGAGAGGGCAAGAGAGGAGAGGGGGAGCACCCCTCAAAGACAAGGAGACGACACGAGCAGGGGGCAGACTCAGGACCAGACCTGGACGCCGGAGCAGACACTTGACCCGACGCAGCTACCTGACTAGACGCAGCAACCGGAGGAGACCCAATAGTCAGTGTGAACAGGCTCGACCCCGGCCGACGGGTAAACGTGGCCAAGTGTCGGCCCGTCTGAGCACACGTGCAGTGGGTCACTCGCTGACTCGCAGAAGTGAACTGGTGAACCCCCCCATCCTGTAGATCAGCACCACTCACCAAGTTCGTAGAGAACAAGGGAAGGTAAAGACCTCACATGGTGCCAGAAGGGGCTGCCAAACACGGTTAGACAGTGGAGAAGTGGGCAAGGACAGGACCCCCAGAGGGGTCTGCCAAGGAGACCGCAACTGGCCGACTAAGCGGCGTGAGTGTGGTGCGGTCTCCAAAGAAGGAGCGGGAAGCACCCTAGTTAAGGGTGAAGGTGTGGGAGGCCTGAGCCGACGTGGTACCTGAGAGAGCAGAGCCACCAGCACCTGGGGCAGCAGACTCACTAGCACCTAGAGCAGCAGCCTCACCAGCTCCTAGAGCAGCAGCCTCACCAATGCACGGGTCAAGCGGAACACACAGGTAACAGTCACCCTCATCACTAGTAGACAAAGCATACATGGCAGCAAGAATAGCATCAGAGTCAAGATCAAAGATAGCAAACCCCGCCCTAGACAGCTCGCCCCAGCGAGGGATCTACGTGGCGTCAGGGAACTGGTGACGCCAAGCGTCCGTCAGGCGGCCGAAGCAGCGCAGGGTGGAGTGCGGGCCCCAGCACTGCTCACCAGTGCGGTCCACGGTACGAAGGACGTAGGTACAGGGACCAGCACCCCCACCCCGCTGATGCCCAGCGTACCAGTCACGAGTGCGCTGCTGCTGCTGGCGCTGACCACCACCGGAGCTACCCCTCTACGCAGAGCCGCGACCAGCTCCACCGCTGCCGCCGCCACCTCCGCCGCCTTCGCCACCTCCGCCTCATCCGCTCCCACCGCCACCGCCGCCGCCTCCTCCGCCCCCACCGCTGCCACCGACGCCTCCACCCCCGCCACCACTCCCACCACCACCCCCACCCCCTCCACCGCCTCCATCGCCACCTCCACCGCCCTCGCCAACTCCTCCAGCGCCCTTGCCCCCCTTGCCCTTGCCGGTGCGGCGTCTCCCGCTAGGGGCAGACGCAGCTCCGACCGATTCGAGGCCAATGAGGTTGGCCGCAGCAGCAGAACCAACAGAGGACAAGAGGGGGGAGGGGGAGCACCCCTCAAAGAAGTGGGTATGAGGGTCACCACGAGAGGCTCCTACAGCAACTACACTCTTCTCTACTGCCAGGAGGCGCTCCTCGAGGAGGTCAACGATGAGTGTGGTGGGGTAAAGAGAGAGGAAGTGGTCCGTTACCGAGCGAAGGGAGTCAGGGAGCGGGGTGACTATGTAGTAGAGGGTGATGTACATGGGGGGGGGATTCTTGGTGTAGAAATCAGCACGAAGCGCAGCGCGGTAGCGAGTGTCACTAGTGCGAAGGTGCGTAATGAGGTCAGCGACTGTGGGAAAGGCAGCGAGGTCAGGGAACAGGTACGGCAGTATGAGACGGCTTAGGGCGGCGACGGGGCCGCTGGAGGGCGGCGACTGGGCCACAAAGGGCGGCGGCTGGGCCGCGAAGGGCGTTGACGGGGCCGCTGGAGGGCGGCAACGGGGCCGCTAGAGGGCGGTGACGAGGCCGAAAGAGGGCGGCGACAGGGCCTTAAGAGGGTGGCGACGGGGCTTCTAGAGGGCGGCGACGGGGCCGCTCGAGGGCGGCAACAGGGCCGCTAGAGGGCGGCGACGGGGCTGCTAAGGGTGGCGACGGGGCCGTGTAGGGCGGCGACGGGGTCGCGAAGGGCGGCAGCAGAGCCACGAAGGGCGGCAGCAGAGCCGCGAAGGGCGGCGACGGGGCCGCTAGAGAGCGGTGACGGGGCCGCGTAGGGTGGGGCCGCGAGGGGCTGCTAAGGGCGGCGACGGGGCCGCGAGAGGGGCCGTGAGAGGGCGCGATGGGCCGCTAAGGGGAGGACGGCACACAGGGCGCGCCTCGGTCAGGAGCAACTCGCTCTTTGGGCAGAAAAAAAAAAATAATCGATTTTTAGTGGTGGGCCTTAGGAACAGTTCCTGTTAGAGACTAAGGATCGAGTCTGTGAAGATTAGGAGCCTAAATTTCTCAAAATCGTTGGCTTGAAATTCTGGACAGAATCGTCGAGTTCACAAGAAACGTCGTCGGCTAAACTTGCACCGTTGGACTTGTCTCAAACTCGGGTATGTTGTAGCCTGTAACCAGGGCTATCTTTCCCAATTTGAATCGTATCAAATTGTGGAGTAAATCTTGAGTTATGATTTTCGGCGCACTAGGGGGTATGCTGCCACATGCTTAACTCAATCACAATGGTTCTCACAAGTTCCACAAAGTTACACACAAGAGAGTTAGGGTAGCACTAAACCAGGTAGGAGGGAAGAGGAGGACGAGAGGGAAGGTCCCAAGAGATTCCCCAACCAAGGAAACCCCATGCCACACAATTCCCTTCCCCATAGGCAACCCCACTTTCACATTTGTCACTTTCCCAACTCATGCCATCCACCTCAACCCACTTGGCCACACTTGCCAACCTGGTTTGGCTTCACCCAACCACATGGCAGCATTCTACAGTGATGGGTTCGAATTCCCAACCCCCAAAAGTCTGTACCCCATATTGAGTCAACCCCACAACTTCCCATAGTCGCCACAACCGAAGTACAGAAAGCATACGAACTCCAACGTTCGTAACTTTCTTGATATTGCTCCGATCGCGACGATTCTTGGCTCGTCGGAAAGATCTTGAGCAGTGGAGTCACTTCAGATATCTGCTCAAGCCAAATAACATTCACACACACTCAGAAAATCCAAACCACAGAAAAACACAAATTCTTGCGCACGCTCATTTCACACATGCAACGCACGAACACATGATGGGAGGCAGATAGACGTGAATGCAAATGATAGCATCACATAACAAGCTCCCCCTGTGGCTGCCAACCATCATCCCACATGCCATAGCTCAAGCATGCACCCTCAATGCACACTCATCCCAGCAAGCTTCATGCCCTTCCAATGCTCAGGTTCTGCCAGGCGTTTGGTGAGAATGTCAGCTGCCTGCTGCTGGGTCTTCACAATCTCCAACCGCACCTCCTTGTCCAGGAGCCTCCTTGTTGAATGCCACTTTGGCCTGATGTGCTTTGTCAAGCCATGAAGACAGGCATTCTTCGCAAGCTTCACCGCCGACTCATTGTCACAGAAAATCACAGTCGGCTCCCTTTGACCAACCCAAATCTCCTCTAGCAAACGCCTCAGCCACACCACCTCCTTTGCCCCATGATGAAGGGCCATGTACTCTGTCTCACACGAGGATCGCCCCACCTCGTTCTGCTTCTTGCTGCGCCAGCTCACTGCACCACCTCCAAACAGGCACACATAGCCTCCAATGCTGGTGCCATCCGTCTTCACTGAGTTGAAGCTAGCGTCGGTGTAGCAAGTCAAGCGCATCTCCCCCTTGCTCAAATCAGCTGCACCCCTCTGTAGCCTCTGTCGCACAGCACTGTACTCCAAACCCACTGATGCCGTTGCACTCACATAGCGGACCAACCTCTTGGCCGCTTCCAGCTGCTCATGACTTGGGCATGAAACCACACTCGCAAGCCTGGATGTAGCAAAGGCAATGTCAGGCCGCGTGTGGTTAGCCGCATAGTTGAGTGCCCCCACCATGGAGTGAAACAACTTCCTGTCACTCTCTCCCACCACCTCCTCATCAGCACAGGGCTCTACAGTGAACCCTGAAGGCAGTGGGGTGGCTGGCTTCCCTCCATCTCGCAGCTTATACTTCTCGGCCAGCCCCTCACAATACTTCCTCTGGTGCAACCTCAACACTCCCTTGTCAAGGTCCCTCTCCACATGCATCCCCAGGTAGTACTTCACGTCTCCCATCTTGGAGCACTTAAACTGCATTTCCAGCATCTCCTCCACACGCTCAATCATTGCAGACGACTCAGAGAAGAGCAGTATGTCGTCCACATACACCAGGAGCATGAGAAACTGCTCCTTCTCTTGCAGCAGGAACAAGCTGTGATCGCACTCACTCTTCTTGAACCCCCCAGCCAGCAGTGTCTCCTCCAGTTTGTGGTACCATGCACGAGGAGCCTGCTTCAGGCCATAGATGGCCTTCTTCAGCCTGCACACCCTGCCGCTCCTATCATCCAACCCCTCAGGCTGCAGCATGTACAGCTCCTCCACAATGACTCCATTGAGGAAGGCGGGTGGTAATGTCCAGCTGCTTTACCCGCCATCCACGGTATGCGGCCATCGCCAAAGACACTCTCAGTGTTGTGCCTTTTCCCACAGGAGCATAGAGCTCATCAAAATCCTTCCCCTTCGTTTGCTGGAACCCCTTAGCGACAAGCCTTGACTTGTAGCGCGTCAGCTCCCCATCAGGTCCATACTTGTGCCTGAAGATCAGCTTCGAAGAGATTGCCTTCTTCCCAGGAGGCAGCTCACACAGCTCCCACGTCTCATTCTCCAGCAGTGAGTCGTACTCCTCCTTCACACTCTGCTTCCACTTCTCAGCATCGGGCCCACTCAAGGCCTCGGTAAGCGTCTTGGGCTCAGGGACGGCTGCCCAGTAGCAGTGCGCTATCTCCTCCTCATCACACTGCTCAGCCACACTCCCAGCCCTTACCACACTTGGCTTCCCAAAGCTCGAATAGGTCAGCCGGTTAGGAGGGCGCACATCCCTCTTAGGACGGTCAGCCGTACGTGCGGCACCTCGTGGAGCATCTTGCTGCCGCTGCTGCGGCTGCTGCTGCTGCTGCTGCTGCTGCTGCTGCTGCTGCTCCACCACCTCGGGTTCTCCCCCATCCTCAGTCACCCCAGAGATCTCCTCCTCTGAGATGGCAACCTCCACTTGCCTCGAAGGCCGCTGCATCTCATCGGCCTCAACGATCAGCGGTGTCGTAGGAAGCTTCTGCTGCTGCTGCTTCCACTCCTTGTAGTACAAGGACTCCAGGAACTTCACGTCCCTTGACACAGTCAGCTGCTGGCTGGTCAAGTCCCATATGAGCCAGCCCTTGTGGTCCTTCGCAAGTCCCAAGTGCACACCCCATCTTCCAGAAGCTTCCAACTTTCCCCTCTTCTCCTTCGGCACATGAAACATCACCATGCAGCCGTAGGCTCTCAGCATGTTGACTACTGGTGCACTCCCATACCACTTGGTGTAAGGCACCCACTGCTTGTCCCCCACAGTTGCGAGCACCCTGTTCTTCACCACAAGGACCTGCCGTAGTGCAGTCACCCAAAACGGATCCGGCAGCCCTGCACGCCCAAGGAGAGTGCGAGCACCTTCCTGCAGGGTCCGGTTGAATCGCTCAGCCACGCCGTTCTGCTGAGGGTTGTAGGGCACTGTGAGCTGATGCTGGATCCCCTTCTTCTTCAGCACCGCCTCAAAAACAGCGCCAATGAACTCTCCCCCATTGTCGGTGCGGATCACCTTCACTTTGTGTCCACTCTCCCTTTGTGCTCTCGGCATCCACTCCTTGAGAACAGCCGCTGCCACCTCCCCCTTAGTCTTGAGAGGGTAGACCCACACCGCACGTGTGTGGTCATCCACAATGGTCAGGAAATAGCGGCTGCCCGAGAGAGAAGGGGCCCTCGTGGGGCCCACCACGTCCATGTGCACAAGTGCAAGTGGAGCCTTCGCTGGTCCCGTGCTGCTGCTGAAGGGAAACTTCGTGAACTTGGTCTCAAGGCATGTAGGGCAGCTCCCAATCTCCCTTGCTGCCCCCTTCACCTCCAATCCCTTCAGGTTCCCATCCTTCACCAATTTCTGCAGCATCGGAATGTTGATGTGGCACAACCTCTCGTGCCACGTCTCCCAATCGGCCTCACCACTCCCAGAAGAAGCCTTTGCCCATGCAGCCGTTGCATCCACACCAGCAAGCACCTCACCATGTGATTGCTGTGGCTGCTGCACCTTCTTGACTGCATCCAGGGCCCCAGCAGTTGGTGCAGTCTCCTCTCCTCCCGCAGTTGCTTTAGCCGCTGCCGCTGCCTTTGCCGTTGCTGGAGGTTTCCCATTCCAAGGGATGATGGGCAGCTGCCACAGGTCCTTGATGCAGCTGCTCTTCTCCTCCAAATCCCACAGCAGCAACTTCCCAAGCTTTGCACGGCAGCTGGTTGGGCCGAACGTAACTTTGGCCTTGCTTTTCTGCAGCCGGCGCACAGAGAGGAGGTTAGCGAATAAACCTTCAACCAACAGCACATTTCCCAGCCCCACAAGCCCCCCATTAGCTCCCATAACCTTGGCATTCCCAATACCAATCACAGGGAGCAAGGCACCTGAAGCGGCAGCCACAAACTTTATCTTCCCAGGGGGCTTCACCTCATCAAGCAAATCTGCCCG